CTTATGGCCCTGCCACCTTGGCCTTTACACCCGAATAGAGTCGATTGATAGGCCCGAGTCTAGTTCTGTAGCCTCTGCCACGGCGACTTTCAACGACCCTGTCATGAGCTCACCAACATTATGTGGGCAAGAAACACAGGAAACAGGAGACCAAGCTCAAACTCATGGCACACTATGGGCGGCTGGCAGACCCTGCTGTCACCGACTCAGGTAAGGGAGCCCAGCTCACACCCATAGTTGAATCAGAGCTGGACCACCGAGGCTATGCTTTTCCTCCTTAGGTCTCTTAGGGCAGACATGGCAAGCTCAAATGCCTGCAGAAGCCAGATAGGAAATTTAAATAAGGGAAAGAGCCTGGAGGTGATAGGTCAGCTAAAAAGTGCATGCCTGACTGAGCCAGCTCTAGCCAATTATTTCCAGTTTTTCACAAGAATCTAGAAGCCAGATTTGAATAAGAATTCTTATTTTTAAATGTGCAACTAAATTTTTAAAATGTTAAGTCCTGTGAGATTTGGGCCAAGGGCCACCAGTTTGCAACCTCCGATTTAAACTCTCTGTCCACATTTTTTGTGTGAAGGCCTCAGCTGCTTCTGCCAGATTTTAGAGTGTCCTCAAGGGCCCCTCCTTTCCCAGCAGTTGAGGCCTGCCTGTATTCCTAGGATAACATGGCGAAGACCATTCTGACTGAGAATATTAGCTGCTCCCCTCACCTCAAGATGCTCGCTCATCAGCATCACAGGAGTGAGCATTCACAAAAAATTGGAAGCCCTTCCCATCACAGTAACTACTCACTGCCAATAGTGAGGGAGGGGAAGAGAAGAGAGATTATTTTTTTATTCGGTCAGTCATTATTTATTGAGCACCCACTGTGTTTCTTCATTGAGATATAGTAATGACCAGCACTGGCACAATTCCTGTCTCATGGAGCCAATGTGAACTTTTGTGTTGGTCCTCAGGGTTTCCTCCCTAGGCCATGGAGATCCAGCACCAGATAGTCAATACTTGAGGCCCCATGGCATCCAGGTACTAACATCTTGGCCTCGGGGAAACTGATTCTCAGAATCATCTGGGTTCTTCGCACAGTGCTGAAGAGGTGAACATACAGTTGTCTTAGATGTTCCAGATCACATATGGGCAAGGGGAGGGATCATGGCTCTCTAACAACTCTCCAAACCTGAAAGCAGCCATACAGCCCAGGTTGTCCT